GAGTCTAAAAACTAGTAGATAAAAATGAAAATGAATTTTCTACAAACCGAAATCAAATCTTTAAGTTTGGTTACACAAATACAAGAAACCAAATGAAGGCTGTTTGTCTTCCGATTAAATGACGACAGTATTTTCTTAACCAAAAGTCCCTCCTGTCGTGTATTTCATGCAGAGTGGGTTTTTACAAGCGCTTGTAATTTACACAACAGTTAAAGGAACGTTTTAGGTTTTCAAGTATTTAAAATATAAGGTATTCATTAAAAAAGTAGTACTGTTTGACTAAACTCAGAAAACTGTTATAGCTTATCACTTTGATGTGTTTAAAGCTTGCAGTTGAAGTCCAATTTAATACTCTCAGTATGTGAAAGATATCTTACAGAAGACTAAGGAAGTGTAAGTAATGCATTAAGTGATAAGGTTAGCAATAGAGACTTTAATTACGAAAGTACCTTTCAATCCATCGAATCTGAGCTACTCCGACTTTCCAATATGTGTCTTGGTATGCAGAACAGACTTAAGGTTTAGATATGGCCCATTTTAAAATAGCCAAATCGGAAGAAGCCAAACCAGTTAGGTTTTATAGCTTCTGTTTGCATTAAATAAAAGCATGGAGTCCATTTCCATCCAGTTGTAAGCTGATCGTTTATCCCTTCATGTATGACATAAGAGAATCACAACTATCTTGAAAATAATGAGTCAGTACCATCATCATAAAACTCTGCAATGGAATGCAAACTTGACTGCTAAGCTATTGAATATGGTACACTATTTGACCATTATATGAGTGCGGTTAGTCGGCAAATCTTAATTCCCAGTGACCGTCCTGGAAATCGTTGAAATATCTGCAAGATAATTTTGCGCTTAACTGTGGCTTTCTTTACAGTTATCAGCAGATTATGTCATCATCTATGACATTTCTAGTCACAGAAATATGGTTGAAGAGTCTGTCACAATATATTTGGGTCTTTATCAGCATAGTTCAGTCTCCAGTATTTGCCATCTGGTCATCCTTCGGATACTTCTTCTGCTTCATCACCATCCAGCTGGTATCTCAAGATAATAACTAGAACAAATATACTGTGAACAGGTTCTTATCTAAAGTATCTTTATTAGTTGAAGTTTTCTCTTCGCTACCGTATTATTCAGAGTTATCGCTTCCTTTTTGTGTTGAACGGATGAGTCAGTCAGTTTACCGGCTAAAAAGGGCCAAGCTCAGAATTAACTGAAGTCATCATTTCCTTTTTTTCTGAACATTCTAGATGCATGCATGGTTAATAAGTCTCATGTGGTGCAAATTCATGATGTGATCTCGTATACTGTTTAGGTAGTGATACCGTCTTACTTGAAAAACAATTAGGGGGAAATATCAAACACGTGAGACATTTCAGCTTAGCCATTCGTTATTCTAATTTCATTGTTAGAAACAAGAAAAGATAACAGCTTGCTAAATTTATACACTGATCAACCTGAATCATATATTTCGGCACCAAATCTAATTTTGTATTTCATAAAAGTATCAAACAGTCACCGTAATACGAATTCACCAACTTCGACATATGGTGTTCGTATGCCTTCTTTGAGCATTTCTTTTAATATTTCACCTCTAGCCACGTACGTGTTGACGAGCTAACATCTATGATTAGTTTCCTCATAAATCGATGCCACATAACATTGGCTGCGTAAAAAGCGCCGTAAGGCAGCTAGTTTGAGTAGTTACAGTATTAAGTTTAAACAAAAGATCAACTCCAAATAACCCCAGTCTCTAGAGTCGACCTTTCATCCTCTAAATCAGATGCATCACATTATTTTATAGTTAAATCATTCGAGACGTATGAAAAGTTTAAAAATGGTTCCTATGAAACGATTATATAATTCAAAAGATGACTGATATTGAACGAAATGATGTGAAGACTAGGATTCTCCTACAAGAATCTTTTTTACGCCTAAGTGAATTCATTTCTGGCAAATTAAAAGGTTGTGGTGAAAGACAAAAATTAGTCATGGTTGCTCAACTTCCAGTGGCATTTCTATTCATACCAACCCGTAATCTAGGTCATTATCAAAATATCGGTTCTTTTTGTCCGTAGGTATGAATGGGTTTTTGAGTAAGTTGCTACTTAAATGATATTGCTGTCACAAAGCATGCATCACTTTCAGTCAAAATAAATAAGTACCCAATGAAGACAAGATGCATATACCCACTTAAGTGCTGTCAGACTGACTATAAACAAACAGCACTATCATGTCCAAAACGCATTCCGTATACGTTGACGAGCGTAGGTTATTCTTTGTACCACTACACTCCATAGGTCAATAGAATATTTTCACGATTGAAGCGTAAGTTACTTTTCTTGCATATTAAACGAACCAAAATGAATTAACTGTCAAATTCCTAAATTTGTACTTTACTTCCCACTTAATTATACTAATTCGCAAATAAGAATGTGTCAAACAACCTTGAAAACAGGGTATTATGTGGGTTAGTATTGAATAAATAAAATAACTTTTCATCTCGAAGTCATCTTATGAAATACTGACGAACGCAAGTAGCACAATAACGTTTGTGGAAATTTAAGCAACTTCCAATGTATTGATACCCACACTGCCGATGGTCTTCAGGGTCTTCAATTTCTCACTTCAGGCAGTGTGACTACCATCATTTGTAATTCGATTGCTTTATTTACCATTGAATCTTCACTATGTTAAGAATTTAAAATTCCATGGGAACCTAATTCTTCAATACTTATCTGTGGCTGGGACATTCCTTATTTTAATGTACGCTAAAACCTTCATTCCGGAGAAGCCTTTAAAATGTTGAACTTTCGCAACACGACACATATTCAGAGATGAATTCACAGGTATAACTTCATAAAATTATGCATGTACTATAACCCTTTTTAAAGTGACCAAATACTCACAGATCACAATAATCAGGTTGTTGTAAAATCTCATCTTTGATTTGATTAAACGTCATTGTGACTGACGTACTGTTCAACATGGTAATTAAATATCGGACAGCCTTAATCTTTTAACTAATTTAACTAGTGACTGCTTAGCCCCAGTAAATTCAACATAAATTCACTTTTTATAGTTTCCTAACGAGAAAAACTACATTTATAAAGATGGAATTAATGATACAATTATTTCTTTTGCCAGAGTAGAAAAAAGTAAGAACAACAGATTTAGCAGAATAATTATGTAACCATTTTAACTCGCGATTTCTCATCAGCTGCTCACAACCTAAAAAAGTTTAACATCAGCTGATAAAAATATTTGCTTGGTTGAATCACTTAGATAGAAAATTATCAGCTTGAAACGAAGATAACCTTAATATGACTTGCTTAAAGACAAACGAGTTGAATGAATAAATAATTAAGAACTGTTAGTAAGTTTTTAATTTCAATCACTAATCTGAATACATTTGTCTCCCAGTTTATTCAACTCCAGTTCTAAAATATTCAACCAATCCTTCTATATATTGATAAACTTATTATCAGTTCTTCACTAGTTACTTACTTAGTCACTCAAATGGTGTTTCTTTTACTACGACGCAATGTTATTTTTATTTCAAACAGATAATCTGACATAAGATATCTTTTGTATTTGTGTAAGTCACAGCATGTATAAAACTAAATAATTCCAACCTTTGGCACGAAAATCTAGTCCAACCTCCTTCATTTTTATTCCTGTGAAAAGGCTTCGGACATACTTAAGTGCAAATGGTTGGGATTATTTCAAATCAAACACTCTATGACTTACACAAATACAAACTGTATGTAATGTCAACTCAGAGTCCAATATTTGCAGTACTATTCGGTCATATCTCGATCATAGTTCATATAAATTTTCAGGAATTGATGTTGGGATTCTATTAAGTTGTAAGCAGTTGATGAGAAACCATGAAATAAATTATATCCAAGATATTCTGCTTAAGCCATTTGTCGCACTCTATTCATACTCGGCACCCATTTACATAGAAAAGCATGTAATTCCATGCTGATAAAAAATTAGGAGGCGATGAGGAAGAACTTCACATTAATCCATGTTCCATTGAAATGTCTGACATAACTCTGAACTCGTAGGATCTCTTCAGTATACATATGTTTGTTCTCACTTTCGTCTGAGTTACATACGTTTATAATTACTGATATAATTTGATAAATAAGGTTAATTATAAAAATTTACTGTCCATATTAAAGTAACATAAACAACGTATTTTAAATGTCTGTAAGATGAATTTATGTGTTGCAGAAAATGGAAGTCATACAAGAAACTGACATAAAGTCACTACCATTTTAGTATGTGTTTTTTAAGCATACACAAATGAAGTGAAGTTGTTCACAGGGTTTAGGAAATTAATGAATTTAAATTTAATTTAAATATCTGCCTACAAATCACTTAGAATCGAATGGTTAATCAATATTCTCATGACTGATCGTAGTGATAAATTTATATATCCTCCTATGATATGGAGAAAGGTCATCTACCAGAAAATGGGAATCATCTGCATCGAATATTGTTTGACGTTATCTAAATACCCAGACTATATAGTATCGAATAGTAGTTCAAAACCACTGATTTGAATTTAAACTGTTTATTAAGTAAATTTTAAGTACTTACTACTTTTTAAAACGAAAGAAAAAAATGTTTAGTTCATTGATCAACGTTTAGTGTCAACTGGTTACAAACTCGGACAAAAAGCCAAATTCATTAATTCATACAAGAGGCAACAAAGCTCTGTTGAACTTCGATCAAATATGAGGATGTCAAAACGTGCAATCGATTATACATTTTGTCAAATAGCTAGTATAAGATTCTGTTAAAGAACGAAGTGCGTGAATGAAACAGTCAGTGTAGTAGTATCTTCGTAAACATATGTCATTGATTCTAGAAGGTGTCTCCTCGTGCGGCGGTAATAAATCGGAACTATCAATTATGAAGATAAAATTATATCTGTATGCCGACACATTTACAAACTACATAAATTCACTGCTGCTTACCTGATGGAGTGCCAGGTTCTTGTTGCCTAAACGTCTGATTCTCATAATCATTTGCATGTTGGGTATCAAGAGAATTTTGCGAAAGTGAAGATTGCAAGTTGTCTTTTGACAGTTCGGAAGAGGTATCATCTTCTTTGTTAGTATCAGCTTTAGCTCTATCCGTGTTTTCCATTGACGTGTGTTGATCCGTTGCTATTATTGAAGACGACATTGAAGTTTGCGATAATTTTGTTGGTGATAGTCTGTAGTAATTTTTACGAGGGAATAGAACTTTAGGATAAACATGAATATTCATTCTCATGCAGTTATTAACGAAAAATAAACTAAACTTTATATCTTGTTGATTTCTCTACAGTATTTTAAAAAGTGTACTGTTCAAATGTCTCTGATGAGACATACAGTTATATGTTTCCTTCACTTTATCATTCATGCATATAAATATGGTGAATGATTTCCTTGACTTTTTATTCTAACATTAGTACTATTCTCTTCGCTCAACTTCTAAGATCACTGGCTAAATGTGCTTTATAAACCAGAAAACCAAAAATCGATTTGATATACTTCATGGTATCCAATAGAAAATTAGAAGACCAAACACAAAGTTAATTTTAGACTTATCGGTCAAATACGGTCACTTCTTATTTCCAGTATCTACATATATATATATATATATATATATATATATATATATATATATGTAAAAAGAATTCAACGGGTTATTTCCAATTCAAATGAGAATCATCATGTTCAGTGTAGCAATGAAATTGAGTGCATTTGTCGTTGTGTTTGTTAGGCCTCCAATTTCATTTTTGTTTGAATCAATCAATTACCTTGTGCACACAATACATTTTGAAAATTTTCGTTGCATTCACTTATTTCTTTCTCCACATAATTTAGTAATGAATTCAAATAACGCTCATATTTGAACTTTTCATATTCGTTTGTAAATTTGTGATCAAACCAAAAGTATTTGTGTATAATATCAGAATTAAATAAATTATATTAAAAAAGAATAAATATACATGAAGTCCCCAGTACTACTAATAGTATTTATCCTATAAAATGGATATATATGTTTCATTTTTATTGCATTAATTTGAATACATTTTCAAGATTGGAATTTTTAAACTTTTGATATCTATTATATCATTTGCACGGTTTTTCAAAGTGATGGTTACATGTTAACTATAGGTCTGATCTGTCCATTGCTTTCGTTATATCTACTAAAGTTAAGAGTCACAAACGATGTATGGGATTTTTCTAAATGTTTAAAATTTGAAATCAGGTGTTAGTATTCTATACCTTCATAAACTCTAAGGGAACGATATTATTGTGGTAAGTGTGACTAGATATAAAACTGAAACAGTTAAGGTTTTGCACAGTAGAATTTATTAGGGTAACGATAGAAATGTTCTCCATGGCACCATTTTAAGGTTAACAACCTGCAGTAAAGTTGTAGCCAATATTTTTAATGAAAACCAACAGTTCACCACTATTCAGCATGCATAAGATGTGATAATGAATACAGAAAACTTTCTTTAATCACCATTTATATTATATGCAATGACTATTAGATGTAAATGAACTAGCTTCACAGTGGTGAAACGCTTAAAAGTTCATTTACAGTCTGTTTTCTCCGCCTGTCTTCCAACCGAACTCAATCACCAAATCGTTCAGGATATTCACTTTTTACTGAGTCTGTAACCAAATGACATACAAGGACAAAACGTGATGAAATATCTAGAAAAACATATGGTCTCAAGTCAGGTTTCTTGAAGTTACGACTCAAAATGATCACTACCAGAATAGTTACATGTTGTAATATATGAAAACAAAGAGAAATATAACTGTAAAAATCGATCAAATTAACTAGTAAACATCATAATTATTTTGACTTATCAGACGACATCCGATGCATTTAGGAACATTGTTTCTTTTTCATAGACCAAAACATAGTCCTCTAGTGAATGTGCATATACTTACTGCTAAATAAACGCCATAAACTAACCTTACTGCCATTTAAAAATAAAATTTTTGCCCCATGCCTTATGCAATTGGGCGCGAAATGTTTAACAAAGGTATATCATATAGTCAAATTATCTGCAGTTTCTCTATCAAAGCCTGAAGTATATTGACATTATTCTATTATTCCGGAAAAGTTAACATCCACTTCACTTTTCAGTTGTAGAAAACATCAGGCTATAGATATAGCATAAGGCAAAGGTTAAAGTGGAAATTAAAACTAACTAATAACGTTTGATTATAACGAAGCGTATCACGGCTTATTGGAATTCAAATTATTCTTTGATTTTCACTTAAGGTGGTTGATACAGTCATCTCAATGAATAACTGGTAAATCTAAAAAACACCAAATAGCCAAGATGCTTTACTCTCTCTCTCTCTCTCTATGCTTAAATATCTTTAAATCTATTACATTTAATTACATAAAAGAAACTTTTTAATTCAGCATTATTTATAACAGTATATGATTGGACAACAACTTTCTTAGACAGTTTCCACACCAACCTATTCCACTATAAAGGTTGAGTTGGATTAGTGAACTTCATGCGTTCAATAACTTCGGATTATTGCTGAAAATAGCTTTATGAATTTCCTATTTAGATTTCAGTATTTCGCAATGAATTAACAATAGAGTAATGTTGTTTTTGCTACAGGTCAGTTGTTTAAAGCTAAAAGCTTCAATGAATTGTTGATTAACGTGAAGTTTCACTAATAAGGCCTGTGTATGGAATATTTCCGCGTTAAAAGTGGGTAGAATGGTGAAAAAATAAATGCATAGTGTTAATTTTGATGACGTTATGAAATAAATTTAAGCAGAACTCACGTCCCCAACTCCACTGCAAAACTCAGCTCAGAGCAAAAAAGATGCTTAGACTGACTCAGCAGCCTAGTGGATAAGACCTAGCTTTTTAGGTGATATTTCTGGGTTTGGGTGTAAATGTGAGAGAAATAACCCCTTAAAAGGCGGGCACTCCTGGTTGATGAGTTCTGGATTGGTTGAAACTCGTGCACTAGATTCCATAGCTATTACTCATTATTAGTGTAATCCAATGCTATCTCGTAGGTTTTTTGATAGTGATAAACATGAAGACGAGGTGGCTGTCACAATAATATAATTAATTCTGTATAAATATTAAATAGATTTAAAACAGATAAATTTGATGTGGAATTGCTGATCAGAAACATATAGCAGTAAACACCAACTTTGAAAAAGATTAGTACTTTTGCCATGTTTTCAAACACTGAATGCTTAAGACTATATTATCAAAGCAAATTATACAGGTCGGTTTTTTAAAAGTCGAGAATGTACGACATTTCTTTCTTAAAAAGTAGGTTTCCTACGCACATGATTTCAATACTATGAAGATTTTTCAATCAGTATGAGAGCACTTCTCACTAATATGAACTCATTGTATGCTAATTCCAGCTAAAATAATAGCAGTATGGAGAAAGCTAAAGCAGACGGTTGTTAGCTTTACGTATCATCTAAGTCGTTATGTGAACTGCAAAAAAAGTTTTTGGAAACGTTTGCTAAACCTTGCTGAGTATTTAAGGTCTAGTGAGACTAAGTTACTCATAAAACTAAAGTAAATTAGGTGACCATAATTATGGGGTCTTGGAATTCAGTTGTCTAGATCTACCACAACGCTATGCGACCCTTCATAGCAAAGTTGGCTGTCAGAGAATTTACACAGCAATAATCTGGAAGGTAAATTTATGCCCACTAACTGAGTTTTGATGTTTTCTCATTTGCCAAAAAAATCCGCACCACCTTATTACCATTGGTTTCTGGTGAATTTTTTTCTCACATTGTCTAAATACACAATACTGGTTGCATTTCAGTGTCAAATATGCAGTCAGAATATCAAGTGAAACTTTCAGTAGCTATGTAAAAGTAAAATTTCTTATTATTACAAAACATTTCAGTTTCAACAAATGAAGAAAATTAAGATTTCTTTTACTCTTGTAAGAGTATAGCGATTTCGTAATGATTTCCACATAGATGGAAAAAAATTACACCAGCGGGAATCATCCACTGACTTAACTGGACGATCAAAATCAAGTTCAAATAAGTCAGACTTTTAAGTACATGTACTTAAATTATGACTCCTAACTTTACAGTTGTTAAGGCGTCCTGGTATGTTAAGTTTCTCTGATGAATGGTAGGTTTATTGTCTCGTTTATTTACTTGAGTGCATATTTATTTTTCTCCGGATTACGGGTGAATCTGTGTACTCAAAAGTATTCACATTAGGTTTCATTACGTGATAACAAAACAGTTCATCTCTACTATTCACGGGAAATAGGTTTTTAAAAGAAACTGAAGTCTCAGGATTTAACGTGCTTAACTAACACCTTGTCAACAGGACTGCCTAAACCATACACTTACAATTTAAAGGATTACTATGAAGAATTTATTTCGGGTTGCTTTCATAAAACTTTCACGAACAACATAAATAAGTGGAATCTTTTAATAGATTATTTTGATAACTGCGAAAAGGTGATGGTCACTTTTAAAGTCTTTTTTTACTTATGTTTTGCCTGAAAAATGAATGAGGAAAGGGGCAAATATCTTGAATAATGTCAAAGCTGAACAATATGATCAGTTACTAGATGATCACTAATGCATCTACCGAGTGTAATATTCGTAGAACTGAATGACATCTAATGACACTTGTATTTTAAACATTATACTAAGTGACATAACATCTTTGAGGCTTTCCTTAAGCTGGACGTCAAGAATGTATCAGAAGGAAGAAATATGAGTGGATTGAGTGCTTGATGGCGTCTGTCAAAAGTCGCATCACGCCTTCCTATCTCCAATAGAAAACAAGTCTATTCTTAAATAGTTTATGTGGTGTGACGTAAACTGATGTATTCGTATTATTAGATAAATTTATAAGCAGAATGCATGGTTTACAATCACATCAGAGTCATCCAGTAAATAATCCTGTGCTACTTGGTGTTATATCAAGTAAACAGCCCAATAATTACGCTCCAGCATAGTGCACAGGCTTTACTTCTGAAACAATGGGTTCCCTAAGGTTTCCAGACGATGAAAGCTAACAAGCGTGAAACCTGGGTCCTTAACTTCTTGTCGACTGCCTCTAACACCTGACATACTAGCTGCCTACTTTCACGTTTCTGTACGTTTCCGATGGTAGATTCATTTAAGTTATTCGGCTGATA